CTCTTGTGACCCTGTATCTAAGACTGTGTTTATTAAAAGATCTTCCTTTATCTTCCCCTCACTCTCCACCCCAGACTCAAGATTGAATCTATGAGACATTAGTTGAGAAAACAAATGAAAATGACACACACCATATTGAACTAAGTATCATGATTTGTTATCTCCTGTGAAATACTGTGAAGGGTACTAAACAAAACATTACACTGACAAAGTCTTTTTATCAGTGGCTATTTCATTAGGCTTTCCTGGCCTTCCCCATCTGAACTCAACATGTATTAACCAATTTTCTAGAATTTCTCTAAGCAAATCTTCCATTATTGACAGACAACTGACTTTTTCTCAAATTGCCTTTTCGGCTCAATTGTATCTTGCACCACATCCACCTGGTATATCTATTTCCTTTTTTTTTTTTAACCTAGAATCTTACTAATTTGTTAAGTTATTGAAGATGATACATTTTTCCCATGAATCCTGACAGAGCCAACTTAGTCCTTTGTGGTGTTTTTCATTCCTTTTAGTAAATAATCAGTATGACACATTTGACATTTGACATAGAGACACAATCTATTCTTACTGTGTTTGCTAGATTTTATTCTATATACATCTTTCCCCCAACTATACTGCTACTGCTTGTGTTTTGAGAATATGGAAAAGATTCTCAAATTTAAGTGTGGTATACTATATCTGTGTATAGTAACTTCTACATTAAAAAACAAGTTTAGCCAGACTATTACTCAACCATAAAAAAGAATGAAATAATGCCATTTGCAGCAATATGGATGGACCTAGAGATGATCACACTAAATGAAGTAAGGCAGAGAAAGACAAATATATTATATTGCTTATATGTGGAATCTAAAAAAAAAAAGAAAAGATACAAGTGAACTTTTTACAAAACAGAAACAGACCCATAGACATAGAAAACAAACTATAGTTACCAAAGGGGAAAGGGGGGCGGATAAATTAGGGGTTCGGGATTAACATAAACACACTATTATATCTAAAATAGAGAACCAACAAGTACCTACTGTATAGCACAGGGAACTATACCCAATATTTTGTAATAACTTATAAGGGAAAATGTTATCGAACCCTGACCTCTGGCCACCTCCTAGGGGTAGACAACTTAACTAAGCTGTACCAATTTTTGAATTTGAATGGAGAGACTGAAGCTGGTTGAAGCTGCTACCTTAATGGCAGTGTCCATGTAGTCCAGTTGCTGAGGCCTCCACAGACTATGGCCCATGGAGACCGCTGCCACCATTATGTCACGAAAGCCGGGATGGGGGAGAGGTTCGCAGCTGCTTCAAGGCCTGGGCCTGGCCAGTGGGCGGCCCTGGCGAGGGCTCTGGAGCTCTGCAGGACACAGCCCTCAGCCTGTCCCTGGGCCCCCAGCTCACCCAGCGGCCTGAGGCTGCAGGGCCTGGAGGGCCCTGGGGAGAAGGCCTCCATCTGCCTCTCGCCACATTCTGCCCAGAAGACCACAACGAGGCTGACTGAGCGGGACCTCTAACCACGCTAAGGGTCACGTGTTAATGGTCGTATATAATACTAATGGCTGTGTGCCCACTCTGCCCATATTACAAAAATAATCTGAAAATATATATATGCATAACCATATCACTTTACTGTATACCTGAAACACAACATTGTAAATCAACTATACTTCAAATTTTTTTAAGTTCATTTTTAATATGCTAATAAAACTTTTGGCTCTGTATAACCCAGAAATATTGCTTCAGAAGTATTACCTAGTAAGTAAAGTTTGATACTAAAACACTACCTTAATAAATAAAAAGGAAATACACGGTTCCTTCAGCATCTGAATTCAAATATTGGTTTACTCGTACTAAAACGTCATTAGAACAAAAACACGAAGTTGGTAACTCAAATTGAATACAATAACTAACCATACATATTTTGGGTTTAAGTGTGTCTTAATAGTTTTTGGTGACAATTAAAATTAAATTTTATAAGTGGAGCATGAGTCATTTAGTGAAATTAATGTATTATATAGTTATCATTAGGTAGCAATAGGAGACCATTGTGATGCATCAAAGTTCCATTCTATGAACTGGAACTGTGCTGAATCAGTGGGATGTGACTGCTTTGCATGTTTTCCTTCTGCTTTGTACTTTCAAACTCATTTTGGTTTTTATGAAAACATGTTATTGCCTAAAGACCAGGAAAATTATTCCTTTATCAAATTATGAGTGCTAAAGTCTATATTTCAATTTTTAATGCTGAGAAATTATAGAGAATGTTTCTCATCAAATTTGAGAACCAGGAGACAATAAATAAAAGTTAATGCTGTAATTCTTTCAAAGACAAAGAATCACTAGGAAAAGTGGCAAAGATAGGTTAAGAGAAAGGAAAAATAGAACTAAAACTCAATCAGCATGCTAATGCCTATGTATGTGTTATGACCTGTATATTCCCTATGGGTTTTATGCCTCCAATGCTAAGTAAATTAAAAGAAATGGGAAAGATAATTTTCCTAAATTTCCAATACCTCTTTATTTTATCTGAATACTTGATAGATCTAATTAAAATAATTTTCAGTTGTCATCAAAGTGGCATCCTAGAGTGACAACTGTAATATAATTTAACTACCATTATGATTAAACTATTACATTAGTTCAAGTTTGTTTTTTTTTTTTCGAAGACAAGTTTTATTTGGGAAGAGTTTCTAATTGTTAAAGCTGCAAGCAAGTTACCTTCACAAGTATAGTTCTACAGACCTAGTAGTTTCAGGGATCCCAGTGTTCAAAGGTACACCTCAAAATTAATAACAAAAACACACCCACGGCAAAAGGGGAGAGCTGTTAGACTGGTTTGGAATGTACAGCCATGGATTTCAGCTGGGCTATAATTGCCTTCTAATTCAGCTTTCTGGATTTATAATCTTCCATTACAATCTACTTAGCAGCAATCTTTATAAAATAAAAATCTAATGATACCAGCACCTCAGACTCTCTATAGAGGTCCCCCCAGCACCTTCTACAACATGGCAAAGAGAAACATTTATGATGTGGCACATCTTATTTAATGTAATTATGACATGTCACATGCTGTCATTTGTCTATGCTTTTATCCATGCAATCAACTTTCCTTAGACAGTTTCTAACCCCTTTCAACTTCCTTCTCACCAGTATTCATCCTTCATGAATCAGCTTCAACATTGCCCCCTTTCTCTGTTTTCAGAACATGCCCCTCTTATAGATTTAATTACTTCTTTGCTTGGTGTAACAGAAACTGTCAGTGCCCCATGCATTTCCCTCAGAGCATGTATAGTTTCTGGCCAACTTCCATCTGCTAGTAACTGCAGTCCCACTGAAAGCCCTTATATCAGAATTGCAGAGAGCTGGATGCTTGCTTGGAGGTAAGAAGTGCTCAATATGTGCCCTCATCCACAGCATCGCGGACCAAGAACTCTCAGGTGTTAGTGTGTGAATTTACCAGTTCCATCACTTTTCAGGATCATTAATTCTGGGGAATGTATTTTGTGTCACTTCCCAGAATTTGTCCTTCAGATTAAGCTCCATTTCTCTTAAGGACAGCTGGTTAACTGCAATCCCTTTATTGTCTGCCTTCTCTTCTCTGCATCCCTTCCTCACTTCCCTATTAGTATTACTTTAACTTCTCAGAAAAACTATTTATACCTGACTCTTTTGTCGCCAGGTTTTTTCTTGTAGAATCTACAGTAAAACTTTTGATACCAGAGGTACTGTGTGGGGTTCTGGAGTTGAATGTCTTGCTGGCCACATGGCATCAAGACCACTTGGCATGTTGTAACAGAATAATTACAAGACTCTCTCTTGTGGTGAACTGGGATGGTAAAAAGGCATAAGGGGATGTATATCTTATCAATTTCTCCAGGATTTGAGAAAGAAAGTGACAATGATAATGGCAATGTCTATAGAGTTAACAGTTGTTGCAAGTATTGCCAGTGCTCTCAGGAAAAAAACTGATGAGCTCAAGCTCAAGTCAGAGGGGTCTCGCTGACAGCATTTAAAGAAACCCTCCTCTTTTAAAGCCAGAGAGAAGACTGAACTGAAAAACAGACCCTTTGTTTGATTGTAATAGTAGTTGAATTGTAGAGAAGATTTACTGCAAAGCACCAGCAAACCTCTTATTTAAAACTCCAGGCCTTAACAGGAAAGATGTAGGACCCTGAAACCTGGACTTGAGGTACCAGGTTGACTCACTCTTGCTGGAGGATTCTTTCCTTGCCTGGAGACCACACAGATGCATCATTTGAGGTCAACACTTCAAGATATATGTACATTCCTCAAAAATTTCCCTCATCTTATGGTTTCTAGACCACTACCTTCAAGACCAGGCATGGCCTAATTGAAAAAAGTATTGTCTCTGATTTAAGAAAAATGGGATTATTCATGAAAAGAGTAACAGAAACTGGCTAATATTTCCAGTTAGGAATTAAGAGAGCATGCCTAGAAATGAGAGTTGAGTGTGTTGGACAGGGATGCAACTGAAATATAAGGTACACAGGAGATGCTAAAGATATGTTTACACAAGCAAATGACATTACATCTAAGCATTCGTGTTTTGAGGTATGCATTTCCAAATTTATGCTTAATGGTATAGATAATTACATACTTCTCTAAAAATACTTTATTGTAATTCCAGAAAGTAAAAATATATATTAAATAAGAAAATAATACTCTCAAATGAATCAATGTTTAAATTATACGATGGTCATAAAATATAAATCAACGAGCTTAACAACTTAAATCCATATGGACACAATATGATTTATAAAAAAAAAAATCTTGAAGGTTATCCAGCACAGTGATCAAGAATGAATGCACTTTATTACCATCTTGTCTTATACCCAAGTGATCTTGCTTATTGCTTTCAGATAATTCTGATGCTCTATCATTTAACACATGGCATTAGCTGAATCTCTTTTCAAATTAAAATGTAAGAAAATTACTTTTAAAAAATACATTTAAGATACACATAAATACTCCACTTACCCATACTTGACCCACAAACGCATTGGCTTCTTCTTCCACCACTGACAGATTTCTGAGCAGATAGGGATCAAACACTGGAGCATTGTCATTGACATCTGTCACCACCACATTTACCGTGGCAGTTGAGGTCTTAAAGAAAAAAAAAATGGGAGGGGGATTAAATGTGAGAGGAGTTATTTTTATTTTGATGTCGGTTAATTAGTCATACTGGCATTTGTCTATCTGAAAGTCATCTCATTAATATTCCTATTCCTTAGCTTTCCAAAAGAGACAAGGAAAAAAAAAGAGGAATCTCGCAATTTTCAAACACCTCAAAAAACAGATGGAAAAAACAAATGATATTAAAGGGCAAACATCTTCTTGAAAATGTCAAATATTTCCTGGAGGCTTACTTTTAGAAAGTGTTTTACCTTTATCTTGTTCACATTTTGTGGGTGGTAGATTTTTGTTTATAGACACTTGTACCCCTTTTTCTCTGAAATGTAACATTTCTGCAGTTTTTACCACTTATATGTTGTACTGTTTAAAAATACAACTAGTACACTATAAAATAGCGTGGTATGTCAAATGGGTATTCTCAGGTAAGCAAATACTACCAGAAAATAATATATTAGTAATTTTCTAGGTTCACATCTAAACCAAGAGTTTGAGGACCATACACCCCTAAACATAAAAAAAAAACACACACACACACACACACACACACACACACACACACACACACACCCTTTTGGTTATACAGCTTAAGGAAATGGTAAGTGGGTAATCCTACCAGTAGTACGTGCTACCTGGTTAGAAGGTAAAATCCCTAGCCTGCTGCAACTCGAGAACATAATGTAGGTCAATGACTTTTGCACAATCAAGGAACATCTTCATACATGACTCAAGCTGGAAAATGCTCTGTCTAATCAAAGCCTGAGTACAGCACATGCCCTCCACCCAGCTCTGTCACAGTGAGGGGCAGATCACAGAAGGCTGAGACAAAATTAGAGAACGAAAGTACTCTTGGCTGGAAAATGAAAAATCCATTATGCTACGATATTAAATATTTAATAACATGAAAATAAAAAGTAGGAGGAAAAGCAGGATGGTACTGTCATGAGAAAATTACTTAACTTTCTTTTTAAAAAAGACAAACAGGATTTGTCCTAATCTGTAAGTGACGTGGGGTGAGAGGCTAAATAGCTGAGCATAAAGAAGTGACTTAGAGGAAGTGAACCTGAAGAAATTTTGCAGCGGTCATGGGCCTGAGGGGTCAAAAACTGGACTTCTAGCTACTAAGGAGGAGAAGTCCTGGTAAATACCCCATCCTTTCTGTTGCAAAATCAAAGAACATCTTCGTACGTGACACAAGCTGGAAACTGCTCTGTCTAATCAAAGACTGAATATAGCACATGCTTTCTTGGGATCACTGAAGTTCTATACTCTATGAGTAATGCTGCATAACGTCTAGACGAGGCCTTACTCAGATTAAAACTCAATAGTCAAGGGCTTCCCTGATGGCGCAGTGGTTGAGAGTCCGACTGCCGATGCAGTCGGACATGGACATGGGTTCGTCCCCTGGTCCAGGAAGATTCCACATGCCACAGAGCGGCTAGGCCCGTGAGCCATGGCTGCTGAGTCTGCGTGTCCAGAGCCTGTGCTCCGCAATGGGAGAGGCCACAACAGTGAGAGGCCCGCGTACCACAAAAGAAAAAAGAAAAAAAAACCTCAATAGTCAAATTTTGGTTGTATTAAGGTGATCTGTCCTTATTTTAACAGACATATATTAAATCTTCTTTTGAGCAATATAATTTTATTCCAAGCCTTTATAATTTTTCATATATAATGTCCAGTGGTCATTAAAAATATTACCAGGCATAGCAGAGAATTCTTGGGTATTGATAATGGCTTATTTCTTTATTTGTGTACTAGCTACATTGATGGGCTTATTTTGTGAAAATTTATACAGCTATTCAGTATGATTTGTATATATTTCTGTATTTAAAACTCCCAATAAAATTTTATTTAAAGAAATGTCAAAGACAAGCAGAACAGTGTTGTTTAGTCAAAGCCGGGAAACAACCTAAATGCCCACCAATAGTAGATGTTTATATAACAGATTGTGTTTTTTGCACACAACGGAATAACATGTGATACTAAGAATGTACAGACTACATTCACCTCAATGAATTTCAGGAATGTAAGGCTGAGTGTACGAAGTCAGACACAACACAGTACACACTACATGATTCCAAATATATAAATTTCAAAGACTGGCAGAAATACTCCATTGTGATAGAAGTCAGGACAGGGATGACTTTTGTGAAGAAGGTAGAGTAGAAACTGGCACGACTGTAAGGCTGGGCTTCTGGAGTGCTAATTAATTTCTGTTTCTTGTTCTGAATAGTGATTATACAAGTATTTTCACTATGTGAAAATTCATTAAGCTGTACAGTTATGGTTTGTCCACTCTTCTGTGTGCATCTCTCCATGAAATCATTTAATTTAAAGAATGCATGCACATCGACATACACTTGTGTGTAGATGTATATGGATATGTATAAATTTAAATGTCATCTGATTAGATGAAATACAAGTCATGTTATTTTCTCCTTTTAACTTTTATGTATTTTCCAAATTTTCTCTAAGAGAGCTACATTGCTTTAATAACAAAAATCAGTTTAACAAATGTTATTTCTTTAAAAGTTGTGTTAGAGTTAAAGCTAGTAAAAAGATTTAAAGCTAGTAAAAAGATGTGCCTTTATAGTAGCAGTAGTTCCCAATTTGCCTGAGGGTGAAGGAGACATTAAAATGGACAGCTGGGAGCCAAAATCTAAGAGTAGCCATGCTAGAGTTTGCTGACCTTCCTTCTAACTGCTTGCATAATAAAGTGCCAGCCTATCTGTATTTCCTTTACTGGTGTCCATCCTATTCTTTAAAAGTCCCATTCTTGACACTATGGAGTGGGATGATTTCAGCCTATACTGGGTCCTCAAAGGCTGTGGTCTGTAACTAGGTGGTATAAATGAGAACTGGATCACTAGGCGAACTAAGAAGTAAATAACAAATCCACCATTCCTGTGCTAATAGGGGCTGAAATTTATAGACCATATAGATGTATTTATCCATATCTTAGAGATAGTATATGAAATAAAGAATATCCATTTCTCTGGCAGAAATGTAAAGTAATAAACACACAGAGAATAACTTCCAGCTTATATATTTCTTGGAAAGTGGTCTGAAGATCGCTTGCATCAGAATCACTTGGATTATCACTAAAAATGCAGATTTCTGGGCTACACATTAGAACTATTGACTCTATTCTGCAATATTCAAATTATATCTTTGCAATTTGTTTCACATAAATTGCTGGTAATCCTTTAATTTAAGAAAAGTCCATCCACCTGTGTTCTTATTAAATACCTTTCTTAAAACCTGTGATTGTTAAGGCTAAACAGTTAATTTTACTATAATTCTACAAAGGACATAAGTTTAAATATTTAGATAAGAAAAGTGCTATCAAAATATGGGACTATTATTATTTTGTAATTACTTTCTTCTTCAACACCCCACTGTATGTGCACATGTATAAGTCGATCCTTAAAATTATATAAATGATGAAACTAACTGAAGAAGCTTTTGTTTGAAATCTAAATGTTTCTTTCCCTAGTGACATTCTCAGTACACACTTTTGAAAATGAAACAAATTTGCTTAAAAGGATCATAATTTTAAAGCTGAATGAGACCTTATTCATTCTTAAAGAAAGAAAAATTGAGGGAACTAGAAATGCTAAGTGACCTGGCCAAGGAGAATTGAAATTAACAAGTAAATAACTGGAGAGAAAAAAAAAAAAGAAAAAAAGCTCTAGAAAGAACTAAACCACTAATGTTAGCCCAGAACTTATTTTCAGTTTTTTATGTGGCCAAAACCATAATTAGTAGACTGAAACTATGCCAGATAGCTTAATATGCTATTTCTTTTCCATCTTTACTGTTGTCTAAGAAATCTTACTTTTAAGGCCAGAGGTAAAAGGTGCTAGCTAATATTACTTCCATTAATTTCTGATTCATCATGTGACCTATCTCAAATGGCTGACCTAAAACCTCCTTATTAATTTTACTTCACTCTAATTATACCCCTTATTCCATGCTTAATAATTCCCTCTTTTCCTTAAAATTTTCCCCCTCAGTTATTTCCTAGCCAAATTACACATTAAACTTTCATCATAAGTCAAGTTCTCAATTATTTTCTTCTTGAGATTCTCACTGACTTCTTTACATATATCTTATACAGGCACACTATATTAATTAAGGGGATTGCATATGTAAAACATAATCTTAGATTTTATTTTTATTGACTCACCTAACCTCTAAGTGCCTTCTCTTGGCCTCACTATTTACTAAAACTGTTTTGTATATTTTATTTTCCACATATAGCTGTTTATCTAATGTTTGAAAAGTGGCAAATAGCTTATTATGGGCAGATTGTTCACCAAATTTAAGTAATTATCCTTACCTATTTTTCTAATTTTTAATTAAGATGATAAAACTGTCTAGTATCAATTTTGTATGGTAAATTTTCTACAGCAATCCTCCTCAAAAAAGCGTGAGGAGAGCATTATATACCCCCATCCAGTCTATTTTTTGATCAAAGAAGTCATTTCAAGTAAACTGGAGATACACTGCTATTTGAACTGGGTGAGTCTTCTAGACACTTATACTGAATTTGAAATTATTTCTAGAGAAAAGTGCTGAGTTGGCCCATATGCACTAGACTAAAGACAAAAGCTACTTTGTGGCATAGAAATGGTGGAAAAAACAGTCTAATAAAGCACTGCCAACGAATGCATTGTTACAGTGCTTAAAAATCAGAATAGTGGTAGTTGTGGATAGGTAGATTGAAGAATACAATCAAATGACTTTAAAACACACCTACATGACTAAACAATTTATTTATTTTTAATACTAATTTTTAGGTGCAGAGGAAATAAAATTTATCTTCTCTAGAATTATGGGCCCTTTTAAACCATTTCAATCATCAAGGATTAGTCAAGATTCCGAGCGCCGCTTACAAATAACCTATAGAATCAGTCAACTTGGTTTCCTAAGTGCTTCAAGGTACTTATGCACAAATTCCCTTCCCTCCACTGTCCCCCACCCTCAAAAATGTGACTTTAAAGGAAATAGATTCCAACATGGTAAAACTGCCAGAACTGCCAGTGCTGTGCTGGTGATGGACACAATGAAATACTTCTTAGACTAAGTTAGATATCATTTTCCCCATAAATTAGCTAAGAGAGTAAATTCCATGTATCTATTCTGTCAAGTCAAAGTTGCAGCTCCATAACAAATTCAGAATATAGGTTCATTGATTAAAAGAGCCCATTGGAGGGCTCCCTGGTGGTGCAGTGGTTGAGAGCCCGCCTGTCGATGCAGGGGACATGGGTTCGTGCCCCGGTCTGGGAAGATCCCACATGCCGTGGAGTGGCGGGGCCCGTGAGCCATGGTTGCTGAGCCTGCATGTCCGGAGCCTGTGCTCCGCAACGGGAGAGGCCACAACAGTGAGAGGCCCACGTACCGCAAAAGAGCCCATTGGAGAAAAAAGCACTTTGAGTAATTTTAAGTAGTTGCTCCAAATGAAAAAGAGATTAATTCATGAATTCATGACTGTAATAAGTTGTTTTAGAGTATAAACTACAAGTTTCTCTCAGTTCCTTTAGGACTATTTTTAAAACCCTTTCCCAAAGAGAGTACTCACCCCATCTGGCCTGCCATCATTAGCAGTGACGATCAGAATGTAGCGATCAGTGCTTTCCCTGTCCAGTGCTTTCCCTAAGGTTAGAATCCCAGTACTAGTGACAGAGAAAACAAACAAACACATGAGACAGAAAAAGATATTATGTCACAGGGAGTCTTTCTACTATTGTGAACTACTTTTGATAGTTTTTTTTTTTTTTTCGTTTCAGCAAACATAGCTTGAGTATTTGAGATGAACGATTCTAGGATTCATGCTGAAAACTGAAAAAGGTTTTTAAGGCTGTTGAGCCTCTTAGCAATAATGAAAAATTGCCAAACTGAATGAGATAAGTGAGTTGATTCTGTAGCCGCCAAGGAAAAAAAACAAAACAAAACAAACTATGCTCAATTCATTACAGGAAGAAAGATATCTATCTTGTTTGTGATTACTTCAAAGGTAAAAGAGTCCATTAATCTTTAGCAGTTTCATAATGCTTTGAGTAAAAAAGTGATTTCTTTAATCTATATCACCACTCCCATTCATTGTCACATATGTGACCATTATGGAAATGAAAACATCTAAATTTCATCTTTGATTAAATCATAGAGACTAAAATTTTTCTTCTTTCCAAATTTCAAAATATCTGAGTCTTACTGTAGAAAATTAGAAAATATACAGTGGAATATTAAAACTTTCATAGATATTATGGGTTTTTTAATATTTCTTTGTATTCTCTATTATAACCACACTTAAATACATTATAATTGCTTTCAAAAGAGCACTCAGGCTGCATATTTTACATTCTTTTCAAGATAATATAATTTTATGAACATTCGTTCTCTCATTTTACAATTTATAAAAACAAACTCTTTTGTTGATACACTAACAATTTTACCATTTTGTTATTCTCTTGAAATTTAGATATTTCTTAAGTATTATGTATAATGGGAGATGATCAGCCTTTGGGAAAATTCTCATACTTAGAATACTTTTAATACTAATTCTTAACCTTCTCACTGTTTAGAATACATACTTTCAGATATTTAAGCTTTTATTCTCCCACGTAACTTGTTTTATAACACTTTGGCCGCTTATTATGTTCTCTAAAACAAGTTCTACATTTATGTCTTAGATATTACAATCTGACATTGTACATGGCATTTTAATTAAGGTCTAACAAGTATCTACTGTGAAGGAGAGGTTACATTAATTTAACAAAACATTAAAATATTTATCAAGTATAAAAGCATAATTTGTTTCTGATAGATAAAAGGCTTTCATTTTAATGCAAGTGCTTTTGTTGTTACAGTGGAATTTAAGCAATCTGCACCACATATGGTAGTTGAGTACAGAGAGTCAATGCCAAGGAATCAAAATCAGAGTCACAGTTACTCTGTTTTATTTTATTGTTGTTATTGATATGGACTAAAAAAAAAGTTCTAAACATATGGTATGACTATGAAAAACTGACTTTGCTCCTTGTACATTTTAAAATGTTTTGTCCAAATAACTGAAAACCAATTCCCAGAGTAGTTTGTAACAATCAAATTTGGATCAACTTCCCACACTGCAGATGGTTCAGATAACTCCATTCTAAAATGACATTCAAAGAGAAAAGTAAATCATTTATTGCTTCTGAGACTTATTCACAAGTAACTTAAGAAATCTGAAAATCTATCCATAGTAAAATGAAAGAAAGAAGAAAATTCAGTTATTGTTTTCCATTTTTCTCCTCAGTTTAAGCTTCGACTCTATATTATGCCTTGTATATTAAATTAGAAAATCACTAGAAATTTATATTGTATTAGAATTCAGAGCCATATTATACCTAAGTAGCTTATTTTTCATAGTCTGGTAATTATTATGGAAATAGTTCTTTGCTTAAGATGATGTGTGCCTTGTGTCCCAATGTCATAGACAGACAGGATATTTGGGAAATGGAAAAAGAGAGAAAAAAAAGGTAATGTCTTTTGGTATTCATAACTGAAAGACTAGCTTATGAGTACACACAAGCATCCTTCCACAAAGTTCCAGAAATAATTGGAAAGGAGGACGCTTGCTACCAGCTGGATGGAAGCTATAGAGCAGTATACATTAGGCTGCATTTAGAAATGCAGTAAATCTTATCAGTCTATATACTAAAAATACATAAGAATGACTCCTGATAAAACATCAATAATAGTGCTACTTAAATTTTACATAATTGAAAATATATTGCACAGGAGTGATGTCAGTAAAAATGGTGATGTAGACAGCTTGAAGAGGTGGTCTCTCCACAGAAGCATTGAAAAATGAAGCAGGAAAAATCAGAAACAACTTTGATAGGACTCTGGAAAACAGTCAAAGGTTGACAGCACCCAAATGAAGGTAGAATTAAGAAAAAGGCAACTTAAAAATTGTAGTAAAGATTTGTTCCATTTTTACTTGTCCTTGCCCCAGCCCTTCCTGGCTTAGAGTAGTCTTAAAGATGTGGTCAACATTCCCAGTGTGCTACTCTGGTCCTTGTTTCTGGAGGCAGCAAAACTATCCTTATTCACAAAGAATTGTGTTTATCTATCCCAACTGGTCTGGAGGCTGCCTGAAGGAATAATACATGGTTTTTGTCTTGTTTTGCCTAACTCAGAATTCACTCAAGGTGGAAAAGCAGTGGGTATTCCTGGAAAACAGTGTAAGTCAGGGAGCAACCTGCAGCCATCTGAAGCAATAGTTTATGTTTGAGGCATACAGTGGAACACCAAAAGCCTGGCAGGAAAAACTGGGTAGAGAGTTTCTTGGAAAATTAGGGCATTCAAAAGTGCCCATGTATACTGGTGAATAGAATTGAGAGTCCAGAAATGAATCCATACGTCTGTGGCCAGTTGATTTTCAGCAAAAATGCCAAGACCATTCAATAGGGAAAGGACAGGCTTTACAACAAATGGTGCTGGGGAAATTGGATAGGCACATGCAAAAGAACGAAGTTGGACCCGGGAAAGAATAATCTCTTCAACGAACAGTGCTGGGACAACTGGAGATCTAGGTGCAAAAGAACGTAATTGGACTATCTCATACCATATATAAAATTTAACTCAAAATGGATCAAAAATCTATATGTAAGTACTGAAACCATAAAACTCTTAGACAAAAGCATAGGGATAAATTTTTATGATTGGGGGTTTGATAATGTATTCTTAAATATGATAACAACAGCATGAACAGCACAAAGAAAAATAGGGCTTCCCTGGTGGCGCAGTGGTTAGGAATCTGCCTAACAATGCAGGGGACAGGTGTTCCAGCCCTGGTACAGGAAGATCCCACGTGCCGCGGAGAAACTAAGCCCATGTGCTGCAACTACTGAGCCTGCGCTCTAGAGCCTGTGAGCCACAACTACTGAAGCCCGCATGCCACAACTACTGTAGCCCGTGCACCTAGAGCCCATGCTCCACAACAAGAGAAGCCAATGCAGTGAGAAGCCTGCGCACTGCAAAAAAGAGTAGCCCCCAGCTCGCTGCAACTAGAGAAAGCCTGTGCACAGCAACAAAGACCCAACACAGCCAAAAATAAATAAATAAAATAAATTAAAAATAAGTAAATAAATAAACAGAATAGCAATAGCCTATGTATTTTTAAAAAAAGAAAAATAGATATATTGATCTTCCTCAAATTAAAAATTTTCTGTGCATCGAAGTACAGTATCAAGAAAGTTAAAAAAACCCTGCAAAATGGGAGAAAATATTTGCAAATCATATATCTGATAAGGGTCTGGTTCTCCACATATATAAAGGACTCCATACAACTCTACACCAAAAAGGACCAACAACCCAATTAAAAAATAGGCAAAGAATAGATACTTCTCCAAAGAAGATACACAAATGGCAAATTAGCACATGAAAACATGCTCAACATCATTAGTCATCAGGGGAATACAAATCAAAGCTACAAGGAAATAGTACTTCATACTCACTAGAATAATTAACAAAACAGATGGGAAAATAATGTGTTGATGAAAACACGGAGGTATTGAAACACTTGTACATTGCTGGTGGGAATGTAAAATGGTTCAATCACTATGGGAAACAGTTTGGCAGTTCCTCAAAAAGTAAATGATTACAATATGACCCAGCAATTCCAATTCTGGGTATACATTCAAAAGAATTGAAAACAGGTGCTTAAATACATGTATATTTGTGTGTGCTTAAATACATGTATCTATGTGTGTCTGTATGTGTGTGGATATTAGCAGTATCCACAATGACCAAAACAGAAAAACAGCCCAAATTTCCATCAATGTATGAACGGATAAACAAACTGCTGTGTACACATGTAACAGAATATTATGCAGTTATAAAAAGGAAAGAAGTACTGAGATATGCTTCAACATGGAAGAACTCTGAAACATTAGGCTAAGTGAAAAAAGCCAGACACAAAAGGTCACATACTGTGTCATTCTATTTATAGGAAATATCCAAAATAAATAAATCCATAGAGGCAGAACACAACTTGGTGGTTGTCAGTGGTGGAGGGGAAGGGCAAGTAGGGAGTAACTGCTTAACGGGGTTGTGTTTCCTTTTGGAATGATGACGATGTTCCTGAACTAGATAGTCGTACAACATTGTGAGTCTACTAAATGCCACTGAATTGTTAACTTTAAAATGGTTAATTTTATGCTATGTGAATTGAACCTCAATTATATTAATTATATTGCACAGAATTCCCTCACCAAACACTGAGGTTATATTCCTGAAATGTATTGCGATTCACAAAATCAAGCTCTTTTATACAATGAGTTGGTTTGCCAAACCATAAAAATGGTGTTCAAAAGTTGTTTAAACAATGTAGATAAAAAGTAGTAGAGGGTATCTACTTCCAAACAAACCAACCTTCTATTTAAGTGTTCATTTTCCCAAACTGCATCATTTATTAGGAAATATTGCAGCAGCATAATTATGCACTGAAAGAGATTATCTCACAGGTTTCATGCTTTGTATTCTTCCATTAATCTTTTTCAATACCTTCTACTGATTGTGATTAACATCATTTATACTTACAAGTGTCTGAGTCTTTGGCAGATTTATCATGCTGATTTGGGCATCATTTTTCAGGCCTTAAAATGATATTTAGAGAGGGTAAAATGTACCTCAAAATGTGTGATTGCTTCTAGTTTGATATGGCATTCCATGTTGAACAGTAATTAGTGATTAACAAACACAGACCAACAGAAAGAGTTAGATAAGGTAAGATTCAGGTTAAGATGATGGAGGCATGAACCAGCTGTGTGAGAAGGGTGATCTGAGCATATATTTTAAGAGTAGAGCTTACAGAAAAATATGCATATCATCTTTCTTACATGTTAATCTTCAGTGTAGCTCAAACTGATATGAAAAACATAAGCTTTAAATTTAGTGTCAAAATTAATTTATTCACATAGAGAGAAATAAAAATGCCAGTGAAGATATAAAATTTTCAAATAAAGCTCTAACAAGGGGCAGAAATAATTCTGAGGTTCTTTTGTTTAGCACTTAGCCTTTAAGTGTTACATCACATGCCTTATGCTACAATGATGACATCAGTAAGAATTCCTCAATTTCCTGCAATAAATAACAAATATTTTGCCATAATACTTGCAGAGGAAGTTTCTTTACATCTTGCTTAAATATTTACTTATAAATGAATGTTTGCTGAATAAATATTTGCTGAATCATATGCAACTATTAGCACAGACATAAAAAGTTATTAAATTAATGCATTACACTACAGAACCATAAAGATCTGGCCATTTAATACATAACATTAACTGATTTACATAATGAATGATTGTGATCTTTAAGGAACAAGCATTTTTCTTTAAAGAATAAGTTTCTTTCCTGGCCATATGACTAATCCAATTCATTAAAATGTCATACATTGTGAACAGAAAAACAAATACCGTATGCTAACACATATATATGCAATCAAAAAAAAAAAGGGGTCTGATGAACCTAGGGGCAGGACAGGAATAAAGACACAGACATAAAGAACGGACTTGCGGATGTGGGGAGGGGGAAGGGTAAGCTGGGACGAAGTGAGAGAGTAGCATTGACATATATACACTACCAAATGTAAAATGGATAGCTAGTGGGAAGCAGCCGCATGGCACAGGGAGATCAGCTAGGTGCTTTGTGACCACCTAGAGGGTTGGAATAGGGAGGGCGGGAAGGAGACCCAAGAGGGCGTTGATATGGGGATATATATACACATAAAGCTGATTCACTTTGTTATACAGCAGAAACTAACACAACATTGTAAAGAAATTATACTCCAATAAAGATGTTAAAAAAAAATAAAGCTATGACACTGAAAAAAATGTATACAACAATTCAACACTTGGTAAATCCACACTAGCACTGAAATGAATATTCATTACAACTAATATTTTTTAAAGAATTAAAAAAATGTTTTGGTATATTTGTATTTCAATGGAAAAAAAAAGGTAAGGTAATGAATGGTATTGTAATGATTATTGTTAAAATTGGCATTATAGCATAAAATAATATTTAATGTAAACAATGAGCAAGTACTTTTTTTGTTGTTTTAAGAAGGAAAATGTAACCAAAATCACTATTTATATGAACTGAAGCATCTGATAAGACAGAACATGATTTCTTTTCTATTATTTTTTGAGAGAGCATCTGAATTATTCAAATCCTTAAAACTTACATAGAAGTGGTGATGCAAATTTGCACAAGTATCTCAGAAGTTTCAAAGAGGGAAGGGATTAAAATATCAATATTTCCCCCATTTCAAATGTGTTGAAATATATTGCTAAGGGTCTAGCCTATCCTATAATTATCAATGGGAACAACAGCAATGAAGTGGCTGAAATAAAATTACCATAAGATAAAAGGCAATGAGCGCAGTGTACTGGACCCTGAATATCATCAACAGAGACCATACAATCATCACAGAGTCCTGCCCTACTCTAGCTGTCCAGAAGAAGTTTGCATTTAAGAATATTTCTGTCTGTTTAGGTCAATTCAGACAAAGAGGATGCTGCACTGACATCTTTCACACTTTAAAGAACCTCTGTAACCAACTAGGTGTGTCTGTTTGGTTTCAAAAGCATAAATTAGAGAGTAGTAGACAAACACTTGTTAGGGTAGCAGCACGAGTGAGAATGTCTTTGATAAAACTGGTAGCTCATTAGATTTCACAACCAGCGGTTTTAAAATCCTTCAGCATCAAGAGAAAAACAGATAAACACAGGAATGGAAATCTTTAACAGAGAAAGTAAGACTAGGGCAGGTGAAAACTTCACTGTTTTCTTATTTTTATCAGTTTTATTAACATAATTTACATATCATTGAATTCACCCATTTAAAGTGTACAATTCAATAAATTTTAGCATATTTTCAAGAGTAGTTCAACCATCACCACAATCAATTTTAGAATATTTTCACCACTGTACCCATTAGCAGTCATTCCCTATTCTCTGTCAGCCCCCAGCCTCAGGCAACCAGTAGTCCACTTTCTGTCTCTACAGATTGGCCTATTCTGGACATTTAATACAAATGGGATCATACAAAATGTGGTCTTTTGTGAATGACTTCTTTCATTTAGTATGTTTTCAAGGTTCATGCATGTTTCAGTACTTAATTCTCCTTTATTGCTGAATAATATTCCACTGTATGGATACACATTTTGTTAATTCATTTCATCTGTAGACAGACATTTGGGTTGTTTTCCACATTTTGCCATTGTAAATAATTCTGTTATAAACATTTCTGTGCAACTTTTTACGTGGACATAACATTTTCATTTCTCTTGAATAGACACGAGTGGAATTGCTGAGTTATATGGTAACTCTATGTTTAACATTTAGAGGAAATGAGAAATAGTTTTCCAGAGTGTACATTTTACATTCCCACCAGAAATATATGAGAATTCTGATATTTCCACATCTTCACCCATGTATGCTATTCCCTTTGTTTTTCATTATAGCTATTATAAGAGGATGTGAAGTGGTATTTCATAATTGTAATTTGATTTCCCTAATGACTAGTGATTATGAACATATTTCCACATGCTTACTGGCCATTCATATATCTTTGAAGAAATGTCTATTTAAATTCTTGTTCATTTTTACTTAGATTATTTATCTGCTTATTTTTGAGATATACTAGTTCTTTACATATTCTTCATATATTTAAAATATTTTCTTTCAGTCTGTGGAGTTGTCTTTCACATTCTTGATGGTGCCATTTGAATCACATTTTTTCAAATTTTGATGAGGTGCAACTTATTAGTCTTTTTCTTAATCACTTTTGCTTTTTGTTTCATATCTAAGAAATATTGCCTAACCCAAATCATGATTTACATCTGTATTTTCTTCTTCATTATATAGTTTAATCTCTTATATTTAGGTCTGTGATTCACTTTGAGTTAATTTTTACAGATGGTGTGAGGTAAAGACCCAACTTCATTCCTTTGCATGCTGTCTCAGCTTCATTTATTGAAAAGATTATTCTTTCCTAATTAGACTGTCTTGGCCTTTTTTTTTTGGAAATCAATGGACCATAAATATTAGGGGTTATTTTTGGATTCTTAAGTTTATCCTAGTAATCCAGACATCTATTCTTATACCAGTACCACACAGTCCTGATTACTGTTAAAGTGTCCCTTTTACAAAGTTTTCTTTCTTTAAGAATGATTGTAAATTATAATTACTTATGATTAGCATGTACCTACGGGGGAAAATTCAAAATAGTAAATCTCTCCGTTTTTTAAATGGAAGTTTATTCATCTGTGAAATCTAAAAATCTGGGAAATATTGTATCCAGGCATACAAACTCATGGCTGTACCACCTTCGTCAATGCAAATTTGCACGTGTTTTTTTCTTACAAGATCAAGTGACCACACAGGGTTCTCTTGATTTGGCATTGTGTACCACATGTTCCTGAGACTGAAGCACAGCCTGGCTAATTTGTCAAAATTTTTCACTTTATACTCATGGGCTACATTTAGATTTCCATCCTTTTAGGGAGTAAAACCACTCAGGACCACACAGAAAACATCAGAAAGATAGCAAGAACATCTCTTTGACAGCCAGCCACACGAAAAAACAGAGCGGCTACTTTGCTATTGAAGAAGAGAAACAAAGCTAACGTCAATGCCGTCTTTACTGCCTGCTTTCTGTTTCCTCAATAGTTATGACTGACATTATCTCTGACATGTTCAGAGAGGTGAGTAGAAGGACATGGACATAGACCTCAAAGGGGCTTAGAATGGGCATGAAATATTTTTATCTTAGCTTTTTTAGAGTATACCTATATTACTCAAAAATTGAAGGATGGACTTTGGTGGCACCTTAAATGTATCTGAATTACACTTTTTCTTACAAAATTCCCTTTGAACAATTTAGTGCCAAGTTACTCTTTGTAGAACTATCCTTGTTATTATGAGTAGCTGACAATTTTAAAGGGATCTAATTAATCCCGGGTTATACCTGCAAATGAACTGTTTCCACCTCAGTGGATTTTACCTAGTAAAATTTTTTTAAATAAATGATGATTTCTGGATTCAGAATTATCCCCCACAGCTCTCATTAACACTCGTAGAAAAGAACAGTAAAATAAAACTATAAACAGCTGAAAGTCTCTGATTAGAAGTCTGTCCTCTTGCTACCAATACACTGTTTAACATTTTAAAAAGAAAAATAAATTTAGAAATTATTTTTAACTTACGTTTCTGAAAGATTAAAAACTCGCTGTGGATCTCCATTCTCAATGGCATATGTTATTGGATCTCCCTCTCGATCAGTTGCCTTCAGAGAGAAAACATACTTTATCAAGTAATTGATACGTCTTCCATTCAGTACAGTGTAATATAGAAACTTGAAATTAACAGCACAGAAGATCCATGATACCTTAAAGTTTAAAGATGAAAACACGGGCAAATGGCTAGATGTAAAATAAAGAATTTCATATCTGATCCCAGCATTTCTGTCATTTTATGTCATCTGAAAGTTGTAACAATGAATAAGAATAGTATCTCCTGAATGTATACATAATCTTATCTGGTAGGGAAATACAGTAATGATTTTCCTATGGTTTACTTATTTAATTTTATATGAATAATTCAAACAAATTTGTTGGAGTCTACATAAATGTTTACAGTGTCAAGAAATTATTTAATGCACTATTTTTTCTTTTTCTGCTCAGAATATATTGTCTGCAAAGCTTTATGGTTAAGAATTCTGAATCTGGAGCCAGAGAGCCTGAATATAAAATTGGGCTCCATTTACTAATTGTGTGATTGTTTCTTAATTTCTTCATTTGTAAAATGAGAACTATAACAATATAAAAGTTAATAGACGTTGAGAGGTTTAAGTGAAATAATCTATATTAAAACACATAGACTAAATCTGGCATATTGTAAGTTTCAGTAAATATTAACCTTTTTTTCCCTTCTTCACTCAAGTCATAGTAGAAAAAATCTACAGCTTCTGACTTTGAGTTCTGAGTTTCTCTTACCCAAAATAAAGATACACACTGGATATTGTGGCACTGGAGTCTGGGATTTTACCATCTAAAATATCCAATAATTTCCTTTTCAATTATCCATTAAGTCCCCTTATGGAAGACTTGGGTGAAGAAAGAAATCTGGATGATATAAAAGGGATGGGCGGGCTTCCCTGGTGGTGCAGTGGTTGAGAGTCCGCCTGCCGATGCAGGGGATACGGGTTCGTGCCCCGGTCTGGGAAGATCCCACATGCTGTGGAGCGGCTGGGCCCGTGAGCCATGGCCGCTGAGCCTGCTCGTCCGGAGCCTGTGCTCCACAATGGGAGAGGCCACAACAGTGAGAGGCCCACATACCGCAAAAAAAAAAAAAAAAAAAAAAAAAAAAAAAGGGATGGGCGAGGGATCTGCCTAAGCATGACCCCAGGGGGAGGGGAAATATTGTTTATTTATCAGTTACTCGGCTGGCAGAGATACCAACCTCTCTGACGGGCAGGCACTGCCCTGAAGTTGGCAGGACCTACAAAAGTGGTGGTTATGTTGGGTCTTTTCAAACACCGGACGATAACCGTCCCAGCCATAAGAGGCTGATTATGAAATCCCATGTCCAGACCAACAGGGAGCACTGTTTCTGCAGGTAGACTAGATGGCTTTGACATGGATTTCAGAGCCCTGGTCATGGGACAGCCCTATCAGCTACCACAGTGGATGGGTGGCCAGAAACCTCTCTTGGACCACATAAACTCCAGAGCCCAGGGACAACTGAATAATAACATAATATTTACTAAATGCCAGGTTTTGTGGGAGAAGCTTTGTAGGATTAGTTAAAAGTGTCTCCTCCATAAAACACTCCCTTCACATGGCTTCCGTAACATCCTATTCTCCTGCTTTTAATTCTACCTTATCAGCTACTACCTCTTTTCCTTGGCTGATTTTTCCTCATCTATAAGACATATTTACATAGGATGCTCCAAAGGTTTGTTCTTGGACTTCACTTACCTTGTCAACCTCATCCAACTGCAGAGCTTTAAAACTCTTTCTATGTTGAAGACTCTCATATCTCTAAACCAGCCCTGTCCTCTGAATTTCAGACCTATATCCAATTGCCTGTTTGATCCCCAATTAGATCAATTATAAACACCTCCAATTTTAAATGTTAAAACTCCCCAATCCTGATCTCTCTCTGCTACTCTCCCACTGCTCAAGAAGACAACAACCTGCTGCTTTCAGTATTCATTATCTCAGTAAATAGCAGAAACTACATCCTTCTACTTGCTTGACCTTAACTGAACATTCTTACTCCCCAGGGTAATCGTTCGCAAATTCCATTGGGTCTATATTTAGAATATCTGCAGTTATCTGGCTATCTCTGAACTCCAAATACCATCTCCCTCATGGATTATGTAATAACCATCTGACTAGTGCTCCTGCTTTCTCCTTTGCACCTTCACCGCAGCCCTTTTTTTTTTTTTTTTGCGGTACGCGGGCCTCTCACTGCTGTGGCCTCTCCCGTTGTGGAGCACAGGCTCCGGACGCACAGGTTCAGCGGCCATGGCTCATGGGCCCAGCCGCTCCGCGGCATGCAGGATCCTCCCAGACTGGGGCACGAACCCGTGTCCCCTGCATCGGCAGGTGGACTCAACCACTGCGCCACCAGGGAAGCCCCGCAGCCCATTTTTAATTAAGCAAAGTAACCATTTTTCCCAGGCCAAGATTTTATTTCTTAGTAAGGCTATGGCATTATTATGCATTATTACACACACACACACACACACACACACACAAATGGAATAAAATAAAATAGTAAAATATAATGAAATAATAAACTACTTATGATAATACCTTTGAAACATTCAAATTAAATCTAAAACTTTAAATTTCATTAAATTAATTATAATGTAAGGGCAAGGGCAGAGAGTAAGAAACAAAATAATTAAACACCTACACACAGTCAATGGGATTAATAGTACATGGTTGATATTTTCCCCTTGTTTTTTGTCCTTTTCCAGACAAGTATTAATAAAAAAGATAAAATGGAACTACAAATAATGATACTCGGTTAACTTACTGGAGAAACAGAATTATGCTGTATCTGGAGACTACATTTTATCACTAAAAAGTTCACACTAAATGTTTTCTGTTGTTTTCCTCTTTCAATCAGTCATTTTAATGTCATACTGTTATAGATATTATCAATTTCTTTTTGTTTGTTTTTGGTATATGGTTATTGTTGTTGTTTTTGAGAGAAAATTTATTGTCTTGTGTTTTTATAAAAGCCAGAAGAAATAGATTTGAAGCAAGATAACTTTGTGTAAACCACTTTAACTCTAGATTAATGTTAAACCTTTCTTCTAATGTATCAGATCTACTCTAATATTTAATATTATTTTCGTGGGATGAGAGCACTGTGAATGCTTGTAACTTTGTTTATACAAGTCATTATTTTGTTAAGTTACTAAAATAACAATAGAGAGGAATTCCTAGAGGACTCTCAATGTTTTTTTCAGCCCAATTAATTACTTTCAATCCCTGAAGTACCGTGGAATATTTCTTCAGTTTTGTTTGACCATTTAAATACCTCAAACTTTTAAGAATTGTTAGAGCCAATAATCTGCCTATTTCATTCACATGTGAGGTTGTGCCCTTACTGGAAACTTTGAAGACCCAGGATTTAGAAGATAATCCTATTTGATTGTTTTCTTCTTTTTATCCTCTTAGCCAATCCTTTGTTGTTGTTTCAGGATCTGTGGCAAACAGTGTAGTAATTAGGGAGGATTCATAATTTCTCGGTCAACTAAACAAGGGGGAATGGTGCTGTCTAGATCAGAGTTCTGAAATCTATCCATTACATGTGTTAGCACTTGTTTAAATACCATGTATCTCTATGTACCAACATCAAAAGGGAGAAATAATGCACAATAATTGGAAAAATCAGCAGAAACAATAATTCTTGGAGTATTAAGATTTGATAATGTGCATATGTGTGACTTAAAATATATTTCTAAAAACATCTTTAAAATAGTTTTTTTTCTATATATGAGTCTAGCCAGCCTTCCCTACATGATGGGCAGAGATTTATATATGATATAGAATAGTGAATCCTTAAGTTAAAATTTTCTGACTGCTTATTAGATGTCAGACATTATATTTGCATGCCTTATCTCTTTTAAGCCTTGCAATAACCTTATAGTCAAAAGGGAAATGCAGAAGACTTCAATTCTATTACTCTCTCTGTCACCATTCCAATTAGAGTTTCGTATAAGTAACTGGAAGATACACCTTTTTTTTTTAATCTAGAGATAATAGTGACTGTTTCATCTTTAAAAAGGAGAGTCTACTATTAGTTAATATTTTCCATAATATAACAGATAGGAATTACTCAGCCTTAGTACAAAAACATTTCTTATGCCTTTATTTTTGATCAGTCAATTCTGATACGAGCCCTTTATTCAAGATCTGAGAGAAGTATAACAGTAGTCATCTCCCCTGGGCTTATCATAGAGTTTACTGGGTAGGCTGTGGAGCCAAGCACCTGGGTTCCAGACCTGGTTATACTATTATCTCTCAGGCAAGATACCTAACTTCAATATCAACAACAATATTCACTTATTAATTCAACAAATATTTATTGAATATCTACACTGTGTTAAGCACTGGGACTTCAGCAGAGAACAACACAGACAAAAATGTTTCCTTTGTGCAGCTTACACTGTAGTGTGGGAGCCAGAGAAAAAATAAAATAATTAATCAATTTATAGGTATTTATATAGAATATATTATATATAATTACTTATTTATATAGAATATATATTATAGTTATATATAATTTATATATGAAATTATATATATATAATTGACATATATTTATATAATACGGCTTTCAGATCCATATAAGTGCTACAAAAATATAAAACAATTCAGGAAGGACATACGGGAGGGTAGGGTGAGAGCTTGCACTTACAAAGAGGTTATCAGGAAAGCTATCATAAAAATGTAAAAATTTGGCAGGACAGGAATAAAGACATAGACATAGAGAATGGACTTGAGGACACAGAGAGGGGGAAGGGTAAGCTGGGACGAGGTAAGAGAGTAGCATGGACATATATACACTACCAAATGTAAAACAGATAGCTAGTGGGAAGCAGCTGAATAGCACAGGGAGATCAGCTAGGTGCTTTGTGATCACCTAGAGGGGTGGAATAGGGAGGGTGGGAGGGAGACACAAGAGGGAGGGGATATGGGGATACATACATATGTACAGCTGATTCATTTTGTTGCACAGCAGCAACTAACACAACATTGTAAA